ATGGTTTTTATTTGTATTTCCACAAAATCATTTTGCAGTTAGGGGAACATGTGTTGGCATTGCCAACTTTCCACTTGTTAGCTTGGTTGTACTTATGCAAGTAAATTGATAAATACATCTGCCATTGTGACGTCCTGATAATTTCTTTCTTCTATTGTAACAAACCCGTAATACAAAATTCACAGAGCGAATGTGCAAGTTAATATAGGTTAAAGGAAGTACGATCAATACAAAGTGTACAGATAAATTCAAAATTAATTCAATATATTGCCAGTCATGTGCGTTACGTAGGCAAATTTGAAGTAGAAGTTGCCTTTATACGTTGATAATAGTAACTGTTTGTGGCGCTAATAAGAAACAAATTATCATATAGTGGAAATGTATCAACACATTTATTCAAAAGTCGGTATTGAGTTTGATTATCAATTTTCTGATGAAGAACCGGTTCATAGTGAGACTTTTCATTGATCCGTGATTTTGAAGCCTTTGTACTGATCAAAACTATATATGCAAATGCGTGTTGCATTTTATAGTAAGAACATTAGTTTGATACCTCTGCTGTCAGTCCCCAGAGTATCACCAGCCTAGTAGCAATCAATTTGGTACTGATTGTTGTTCAGGTGATCACCCTCATTTAATCGTCGACTGTATTAAATTCAAAATTAGCGGAGACGATTATCATATATAATTACTGTAAAGACTTTTGTCCCGTTTCCTTAACATTTTCCATTTTAGTTGCTAAACAAATGGGATTCACAGAAACTTATCAGTCGGCAATCAATAGGTGTTCTTCATCAAATGGATCTTTACTAAGCATTTACAATCAACTTGATAATTTGAAGGAGGGGAGGAAGTACTGGTTCAATATTTGCAGATCCAAGTTTCTGAAATGGATAACAAATGAATTATTCGATGAAGTCTGTTGTAAGTTTATAATATGTTAAACAAGTGTTGCATTAAATTCGATATTTTCGTACAACGCTAGCATCTTCGTATGTATATATTAGAAAGCGAAAATGGCAAGTCAAACGCAGGGTTGTAATGTGTAGATGCAGTAGAATAGAGAGGAGAGGGGTACAAAAGGGATTTTCAAACTCATAATTTGAAAACAAACTGACAATGCCGTGGCAAAACAAAAACGAAAAACGACAAAAGGAAAACAGTACACACAACACAACAAAGAACTACAGACTGAGCAACACGAACTCTACCAAAAATCGGGAGTTTTCCCAGGTGCCCAAGAAGAATTAACAGATCCTGCTTTACATGTTACATCCGTCATATTGTTCATGTTAATACAAATCCGGTGATACATCTTATTTGAATACATATAGTGTGTCCTCTTGCTTTAAATGTATGCCCTTATACTTAATATTTTGGGTTGTTTGCCCATGGAAGAGTTGTCAACCTGTTGGTCTTTATTGAAATATGTTCCGTTTGCTGTCATCCAAATCTTCCTTTTTTTTTTTAATTTCCAGCGAATGAGGTTTAGAAAAAGGTGATATGGGATTGAACTGTTCGATTGTAACAAAAACGTCCTCTCCATTCTACTGCATCCACACAACACGAGCGACTGTTCGATTGTAACAAAGAAAAATTATGACTTTTTCATTCGGTTTAGCTTAAGCATGTTAAGGAAATGATAATTCACATGTCCGTTGGTTTATAAATTTTGTAATGGGTAAGAATTAGATGGACGTTAATAACCAATCAGTCCTTGTGTGATGACTGATCACTTGCTTTAACTTATAAGTTTCTCTTTGGCCCGTGAGTTTTGAATGTCCATTTGGTATCTGCTGTCTCTTATTTCAAGTTCCTTTGATATTTTTTTGTGAAACTAGTTATAACAATAAAAGAATATAGATATACGGAGATGTGGTATGAATTGCCAATGAGACAACTATCCACCAGAGCTCAAATGAAGTAAATGTAAGCAATTAGAAGTAACGGTACGGCCTTCAACAATGGGTAACATCCATACTGTATAGTTGTATATAAAAGACCCCGACATGAAATATGTGAAAATAGTCAAACACGGAAATTAACGGCCTAATCTGTAACAAAACAATTTACGACAAACACATGTGACAGACGTGAACCAAAGACAACCACCGAACTACAGTCTCTTGACTTGGGACAGGCACATAAAGAATGTAGCGTAGTTAAACATGTTTGTGAGCAAACATACCGAACTTCACAGTAAACTCTGTCCATAATAACTGATCAAAATAAAACGTTATCAACCAACGGAACAAGTGTAAAAAACTGTCATAATCCTGACTTGGTACAGGCCTTTTAAAAGATAATGGTGGCTAAACCTCCCACTTGTATGACAGTTGCTTATAGTTACGAAATATAATAAATATCGAGTATTGAAAACTTCTTTTTAGAACTACAAAATTAGATTCGTGTGAGTGATGGCTGAATTTCCATCCTTATGATTTATAAAAATTATGAACTGGAAATATTGAAGAATGACTACTACAGAAAGTCAAAAATATATATTTGGCAAAGGTTCATTCCAATCGTCACTCGAATTTAAACCATTAGAAAAATAGAGGGACATATACATAATTCTTATTTAGAAAACGACATAGGATAAATGAATGAATCTGTGATAACAATTGTTCAAATACACATGTATTCCATTTGAGCTGAAAAGAAAAAAAAAGAAAGAAAAATAGTTTTTGTAATTGGTCAACAATTTGTAAGCTAAAAACCTTCATTATATGTACTCCATATGTTAAAAACTTTACATTTACATTGTTTAATAGAAAGTTTTTCAGGGTAAGAGACAAAAAATAACAATCATGAACATACCAGTCACGTTCATAAAGTCTTAATTGAAGCGTTCAACACAACTTTCTTGGGATCTTGTTTTTCTTTTCACATCAAATTTTCTCTAAATCAGGGTTATGCACAATTAATATTTAAACAGTTTATACTTGAATTTACATGATAAAGACAAGTTTACGTTTTAAAATGTAATAAACGAAAAATCTATTTAATAATTCCACAAAAATATCTTTATAACTTATATAAGCCCTACTACTTCGTTCAATAATCTCGTAACTAAAATGTTGCCTGTCTTTGGCTTATGAGTTTCGAACAGCGGTATACTACTGTTGCCTTTATTTGGCTATACTTTTTGGTAATTTTTGGTTTTTAGCTCTTCAACGTTTTAATAAGCTTCGGAGTTTGAAATATTTTGGCCTCAAGCATCACTGAAGAGACATTGGTTGTCGAAATGCGCATCTGGTGCAGAAAATTTTATACCGTTTATATTAATGTTATAATCAATAAAACAACACATTGTTGACAAATACGAATCTGAAAGATTTGTATTCGGTTCCTGCATGTCGAATTTTAAAGGTTTGATGGATGTGTTCTGTCAGTTTCCATCACAATCAAGTATATCGACTTAAATGAAAGAAAAAAAAAATATATTAAAAAATATTTTAGCTATTTGTTTTATCATTTTTTTTTCAGACGAAATAGATGGATTGTTAAATGTTGATTGTTTACATTTGAAAGTGACATACAGGAAGACGGCATACCAGCCATTACCTTGTAAATACAAATACAAGGCCATCTGCAAACGTAAACAGCCTGGAGATCCAGACATCATCAGACATTGTCAACCTAGTAATAATAAAATGATTAGTACTGATGTATTCTTCAGAGAGAAGGAATTTAAAAAATAAGAAAATTGAAATCAAATGAAATTTTTAGAGGTCATCTTTGACTTACTTTACAAAATTTCAAAATAATAACACAGATTTATATGCTTATTTTAGATATTTACTGATTTGAGTTAAAAAGTATGATTTGATAAATACTACACATTTATCTAAATTTAACAATGTTACAGCCATTTGCTATTGATAAATGGTTGCCTATCTAATGGCCAATGGCAAATAATATAAAAAAAGGTTTTGAAAAGTCGGTTGATAAACCCTGGTAAAACATACAAAAGAGGGGACATTAGGTAGATTCACAAATTTTGACTTACGACAAGCCAACGACTAAAACCCAATAAGTCTTTAATGGGAAGAGAAAGCGTTACATTCCACTGCATAATGCATTGCATTTAATGTACTGAATGTGACTGCGTATTAATACATATAATGTATGCTAAACCAAACGGACACGACACTTTATATCATCGACTTAATTATCGGATAGGACATGTCAGTAGTAACCATATATCTAAACACCAGTCAATCCTTAGAATATTCAAAAGACGGGCATGAAGATAAAGATAATGCCGTTAGCTATGTAAATCTTAGCTTATCATGATGCTTGCAAGATCTTTGAAAAAAATGAAGTAAATACACATGACATAAACCGGTAGCTAACATCAAATTTGGTATGACCCTCAATATACGCCGCTATGCAATTATAATTGATCTTCATTGTGCAACCAAAACATCTAACATTCTGAATTGGGAATAATTGATGGACTGAATTTTTTACAAGTTACACATGTATATGTCGTTGTCACACAAAAGACTTAAAAATATACATGTAAGAATTATCGAGTAAAGAATAATTATTAAGTACTATCATGAAAGTCATCTTTTGGGAACTTGATCACGAAAAGTGAAATTTACCTTTGTTTCAAACATTTAAATCATCAATCAATCTTCATAAACGGTAACAGTGTAGGTAAATAAAAAAATTGATGTTTATTAACATAGTAATATTATCATGTCAGCATGCTTTCATTTTGTGTATATGGGAGTAGCTATTAACTTTTAATTTGCCGTTTACAGACAATGATATCATTACAATCACAAGAGATCAAACAGAACCAGAACATAGTAAAATATCATCCAACAAACCAGATCTCACTCCAACACCTCCAACACCTCCAACAACTCTAAGCACCGAAACAGTGTTTTTAACATCATTACTGGCAACCATGTCGTCACATTTTGTATCGACAACTTCAGACTATACAAATCTCGTCACCCGATCTTCACCAAAGGTCATGTCAACAAATTTTGTTTCGACGAATTCAGATGATATCGACTCTTTCAAATCATCTATCTCAAGTGAACACTCGTCTGTATGGTCTAGATCGAGTACTGTTTCGGTTTCCTCGTCGCAACCAAGCATAAGTGATACTACTGTCGGTACACATATGGAATTAACTACCTTAGTTGCACAAATGGATAACGACAACAGGACAGTGGCAAATGAAACTACAAATGATGGTTTAATTTATAGTATCATTTTTTCATTAGGTACGTGCTCAATTCACTTTTTCTAACTTAATTTTTTTAATAATGATTAACATTAAATCATAAACAACAAGAGTATAATATCACATGCATATTCAAAATCAGAACGGATTATCAATTTATAGTAAATGTAGGTTTTGTAAAGTAATGCTACTGGGATGTAGAACAGATAATTTAGAGAAAATGAATGCTAGGTTGGGACAGAAAGTTGGCAAACTGGCTACTTTCTGATCCTGAAAGAGTTGTGATGATAATTACATAACATACTCAAGGTTTGACTTTTTTTTTGCACAATTTATAATTAAGAAACAACAGGAAAATAGAAACTAAATGTCATATAGGACTAGAATCATTTAGAGAAAACATTAAAAAGCCACAAACTGGAGTTTGTACATGTAAATAAACATGGTGCGGAGTTAAACTAATTTTAGTATGTGTCAACTCAATCCTACTCCTTTGCAATAGGTCAGTGACATTTTCAAAGGTACATTGATAAGTATAATAGTTATTATTACAGAAAAAAAGGACTCAAATCTACAATACATGTATTGCTAACATACACACAAACAGTTTCATTACAATAAGGTCTTTATGAAAAAAATCAGAATATTCAGTTTTGGCAAAATCTCCTAATCCCTCTATCTTTGTTGTGTGTTGTATACTGTTGTTTGTCTTTTCGTCATTTTTCGTTTGTTGCCTTGACATTGACAATATGTTTTCGACTTATGATTTTGAATATCCCTTTGGTATCTTTCGCCTCTCTCTTATTATCGTTATGACTTGTTAATATAATCGTATACAAAAATGTTCATAATGATAATAAACAATATTATACGTATAAATCTCTCCGAAAAAATGATATGTCCAGTGTGTAATCCAAATTTTACAGTAATAAACCCCCAGTCGAAAGTGCACCTTGACCTGTATCAACGTCTTTGTAAAAAGAAGTAATATAATCATTATTTTTTATAATATATAAAGTATTAAAAACATTCATCAAAGATAATAGGCTTATAATTTTGTACGTCAGACTCACGATTTGTCTTCAAATTACGCCCGAATACAAAACTTAAAAGGCCAAATTACAGCAAAAGGTAATCTATTCCTTGAGTAGAAAATCCTTAGTATTTCCTCGCTGCTTAAAACTCAACTACCATATTTTTTTTTATTATCATTTTCTAAAAATGGAGACAATAACAGAACTAACATACATACAAGACAATAATTCTTATCCTTGTTATATGAATAGGCGAAAGATACCAAAGGGATATTCAAAATCATAAGTCGAAAACATATTGTCATTGTCAAGGCAACAAACGAAAAATGACGAAAAGACAAACAACAGTATACAACACAAAAGAAAAGTCAAGCAAACTGCCCATTATTTTCCTGATCATCAACTAGAACAGTTACTGTTCTAAATCACGATCAGATAGTTGCTCTAACTTATGCCATTTTGAAAAGATTCTGACCGTTCAACCCTAGAACTAATAAGCCAGGTCTACCTTAATCAGGTTTGGACAGTTTTTCCCTATAACTGTTTCTGGCAGTTTAACCCTAAAACTACTCTAGTGTTTTAGAACAAAAAAACAGTTAAAAATAATATCAACTGACATGCGACTAGAATACGACGTCTCTCTCATTTGTAGAACTTATTATTACATTTTATTTTATTTAAAAAATCTAGGACAACAACTTCTGAAATGAGAGGCGAAAGATACCAAAGGGATATTCAAAGTCATAAGTCGAAACCAAATTGAACACAGGCACTGATAATTATAAAGCACACAGAAAAACACTTTGATATAAATCAAGAGCCACACGAACCCTTTTAAACAAACTACGGGTGATGTCAGGTGCTCCGGATGGGTAAGCAGATCCTGCTCCACATGAATCTCTTGACAATTCTAATCATGTCGACTTAATAATCATTTTGACTGTTTATAGTTTCTCGCTTTTAAGATAATTGCCAAATATGCAAACATGTGAATAAAATCTAATTTAGGGTCAATTACCCTAACTAGGAGTCATCTGATTAATGTTGGAATATTAAAAGTAGGAAGATCTTGATATTCTTAACATTTTACTACGTAAGAATGTCTCTACTTATGATGGTTAATAAGATATTAGACAATTACTTGTATTTTATCCTTCTGATCTATATTTAGGCATGGCGGCAAAACAAACATACCTCATACTAGACACACGGAGGATATTCTGTTCCAAGTTTCGTTAAAATTGGTCCTTTGGTTTACGAAAACAAACGACGGACGACAACCTCGACAAATATCGACGACGGACACTAAGTGATGGCAACAGCTCACACGACCCACCGTTAGGATCATGTGATCTAAAATTTCCCGGAAAATTACATTAACTAGTGATTAAATAAATGAAAATTATAGTAGTGTTGAAAGTTCTTTTTTTCACAACTTATAAAATTAAATTCTTATTTCAGTTCCAGCCTCTGTTGCATTGGCCATTCTAATAATAATGGCAGTACTAATAACTGTAGTAAGAAGGTACGTTATAGGAGTGCACATGCCAAAAGGTATTGTACTGGTATGCAATACAGTGAAGGTATGCATTGCCATTGCACGAAAATCACTTATTCCAAACGAAAAAATTTTTCTTATAAATATTCCATTATTGTATAAATGTTGATAAATCATAATTCAAATGTTTTTTTTCGTGTTTAATTCTCTATTCCTTTACTTCTACAAAATGTTCCTTGCATTCGTAGGAAATAAGGGATGATGGAAAAAACTCGGCCATTGCAACAAGTATCTCTTTAAATGACATTTCCATCTTGTTTTGATAATTCTTCAATTGAGTCTAAAATTGAGAGCAGAAAGTATAAATCCTTCGTGACAACCGTACTTTGTCCTTTCATATAACAATACAAAGATGTGGTATGATCGTCAATGAGACACATTTCCACCAGAGACATAGTGATGTTAGCATCTAAAGGTAACCAAACGGTCTTCAACAATGAGCAAACCCATACAGCATAGCAAGCCATACAATATTTGGACATTCAAACAACCTCATTTATGAAAAAAAAAAAAAAAAACAAAAAACAGAAAAGATATACAGCACTGAATTACAGTTACTGAAACTGGTTCAAAGCCTATAACAACTAATGAAACAATCATGAATCCAGGACTAAAATTATATTAATCAGTACACATCCAATGGATAAGTGTAGCGACGTCATAAACAGTCAGAAAAAATGATATCTGATTCAATGTTTGTACCGATAAAAACGATATTAAAAGATCTTACAGTGTTTTAATGATTACCTTTTAGAATAAGTCTATTTAAAGGACAGATAAGTTTACGCTGATTGTATTTAATTTGACGGGATCTATAAACAACATCACCGTAAAAATTAGGATATGACATCCCGTTTGTAATACGTTTTTCTACAGGTATAGCCAAACTTCCAAATCCAAATCTTTGTTGATTTGGGTTTATGTCTTGCATTCTTGGTTGTATGAAGAAGATTTGCATCTGTCATTTGGGAGAACAAAAACTGATCATCGTTATTTTTAACTAAAGACACTAAAACAAATCCTGTATTCTTCTATTAAACCTGAGTGAGTTTGATGGAATTCAATAATTGTATACTAGTATTAACTTCGCTATATTTCTCATTTATAAATACTTAAAAAATAGTTATATTTCAATTATTTCAACATCGCTTAACAAAATATATTCCACGCAGTGCTGTTACTAGAAAAACTAATGTTTAAGGAACATCGAATAACGTATCACTTGTCTTAATTTTGTACAAATGAAGATTGCCTTTTACGAATCAGGATTAACAAATGAAAACAACACGTTATAAATTGCATGTGTCCGAAGCGCTTTTCTGAATTTACCTTCATCAGGAACGCTCAAAGCCGAATATTTCAAAGCCTAGTATGTATAAGAACCGAAACAGTTGAAGAGCTATATCACCAAAAAGGACCTAAAAAAATTGCCAAATCCATCTAAGGTCAACTTTTCCTGAGGGAGTTGAAACCTTCGTTTCTAATAGTTTCAAAACTTATTAACAGACAATTTTAGAAAGGTTTGTTATAAATCATGTCAGTACCGAATTGTTGCTTGCTATGTTACTCAATTGCTAGTATTTTTCTTTAGACGAAGAAGGGAGAAAGCCCATCCAAAAAGTAATGGACTTCAAATCGAGCTTGGCGCACTACCACCAATTATTGAATATGAAAAGAAGTCATACGATAACCAAAGGAATTATTTGAAGACACAAGATAAAGGCAATCCGGATTGCCAAATTTATGATGAAGCGAACAATCAATATCAACATCTTGATTTTAATGTACGAAGTAAAGAGTCAAAATGTTTCGAAGCGGAATACGGTTATGCTATGGCAACAACGTCGTTTTTGAAGCCAGACCAAAAGAATTCATCCACCAATAGTGCATTGAAAATCGCCACGGCAAAACGTGCAAAAATGCTAAGAACATCATTACAATTTCTCCAAAGCCAGTTTACAAAGCAGAGGTCTGAAAAAGAAAATGTGGCATATTGTGACACTGCAATAGTGCACACCAAATTCCTGTATGACACACCACAACAATCTACAAAGCATGTCAACAAACATTAGTACACTGTATTTAGTCTCAGCAATTACAAAAGCATGCGTGTGTCATCGAAAGCAATGTTATTTTGAATCAGGAGCTATTTTGAAATACAAATTTTATTTTTTAAGTAGGATCTGTTTACCGTTCCGGAGCACCTGATATCACTCCCATTTTTTAGTGGAGTTTGCTTTTCTCAGTTGTTAGTATTCTGTGTAGTTTTTTTATGGACTGCTGTTTGTTTTTTGTCACCATCGATTATGCCATAATAATTTCTGTATTTTTAGACTTATAATGTTTGTATAGTTCCTTTAGTGTTTTTATATATTTTTATCTGTTTTATTTAAAGACTTCATATTATACCTGATCTACATTTGTTTCAATTTAATGCATTGTACATGTTTCATAATGTTCATTACCGGATGATAAAGATTAAATCTTGACATTACTTAAAAACATAATATTCAGTACGTTTGGTATTATTAAGGTTTAAAGGAACATTGGAAAGTTTTAAATGTTTTTATCCATATTGTGCTTGCTTGCATGAAAAAAATTTTAGAGGCCAACTTTTACATTCTCAAAATTGATCAATATACTTTTATTAGTGTTTTGAAGCTTTCATTATACAATGATAATGAATTGACATTCTCCTTAACTTTGTGTGTGTGTGGTTTTTTTTGTTTTTTTTTTTTCTTTTTTTGGTTGTTTTATTCTTCTTTTTTTTCTTTTGTTTCTTTTTTTGCGAATTTTGAATTTTACTAAGCACATGCATTTTTTATTTTTTCTAATTTTATTTTCTTCTTATTCTGTTGAATATTTGACCATTTTGCAGACCATATTTTTAGATACACCTAAATGTTCCTGATAAACAACTTTGAAGAATGTATATATTGTATATATTGTACTTACCAATCTAATAAAAAATGAATGCTTTAATTTTATGAAGATACATGATTTAATTAATATATTGTAAAACTCAAATAGATATGAACACAACTGTTACAAAGGTTTATAAATAACACAAAAAATCTTACAAATTTTGGTTGATATCTGTATCCAGTAAATGTTAAAACTACATCTGTGTAGATCTTATTCTTTAGCTTCAGACGGAGGCTCTTACAACCGTGAGGCAACTTTTTATAAATTTATAAATTTTTTGGACAAAGTTTATGCTTCTAGCAGAATTAAATATTTCTGGAGTGTAAAAACTCCTTGGAAGTTTTTCGAGTAAGCAGATTTCACTGAAGATCCGTTTGTCTTCTTTTAAGGGAATCACACCGTGCATGTTCAAACGACCTGTATCGGTTCTGTTACACATGACAGATACGATCCGTACACCGCTATATACTTACAGAAAAAGAGCGTGCCAGGAAGTTAGTATGTTATTCATATCATTTTCTCCTAATTGATTTGGTTTAATTAACTGGGGTTCCGTGTTACATTTTAAATCTAAATAGGCCTTGTTTGCGCTTCAATGTTATATTTTTAATGATTTTAATTTAACATTGACGTGATCACAAATATTATATGTATGTATGTATGTTTGTATGTATGAATAGTTAATGAAAATAAATTGTTTCAGTTCACAATACTCCGTTTATCTTCTTTTTTTTTTATCTGTACGCTTTTCAGACCATATGTTCTATTTCACATGTTCAATCAAACATTAAGCATTTATTTTCTATACAGAGCTCAATTAAACAAAAGACATATATTCTGTGTGATGTAAATTTGTAAAATCCAGTCATTTTTTGAAGCAGCAGAAACATGTTTATGACATGTGGGACCCGAAATTTTTAAGCAGAATTAAGAAAAATAAATAAAAATACTGCAAAGTGGGCAGAGTAGATGGAAACTTATGCGCATAGCGGAGGGTGTGGATAGGGGTTTACAGAATGGAGAATAATGGGCAAAAATATAAAGAATAGACAAAAATAGACAAAAGAAAAAGAAGAATAGAGAATAATGAGGTGTTAAAATATAAAGAAAAGAGAATATTTATTGGACAAAACGTATAAAGAATAGAAAAAGATGGCCTAAAAAAATCAAGAATACAAAAATGAAGGAACCCCCCCCCCCCCCCCCCCCCATCCATTGAACAGTTTAAAACTTGTCAACATAACCGTAAAACAGCTAATAGAATAGAGAATGGAAACGGGGAATGATTCAAGGAGGCGGGCTTCAGATGTCCTCTAAACAATAATGTATACTTGTTCAGCAAAATGGACGCCACTCAACTTCGAAACATACAATTGAACTAAACTTTAAAGAAAAAACATACAAGACTAACAAAGGCTAGAGGTTCCTGACTTGGGACAGGCACAAAAATGCGGCAGGGTTAAACATGTATTGTGAGATCTCAACCCTCTCATATATCTCTAGCTATTGTTGAATAAACAAACACACAGTAAAACTCAGTTTAAAAGATGTCGAGTCTGATGTTAGAAAAGGTAACAGAAGAAACTAAGTTAGATATATAAAAAGTTTCGAGAACATAACAACCAAAAGGGCCTATATACATGTAGAACTGCCATATTAGTATAAGGTACTTTTAACCTTAGATTTAGCACAAATACAGCATTCGTTTTTTTCTGGAAATTTACATTTACATATTGTATCTTTTTAACACGACAGCATCGAAAATCTGGCTATTTTGATCATGGAACATTACAAGATGATTAACATTCAGAACGACACTTAGATCCTTTCCACGTAGTGTTATTTCACGCAATCAATGTACTTCATTTTTAAACATGTAAGTTATTAAAAATATTATGACATCTCATTACGATATTAATATTTAATTGCAGTGTCAACTTTAAACTTTATTTTTTTTATATTATCCTTTCTTTTATAAATAAAATCTGCGGTACAGTTAGAAGTTATACTGTATTATTTTTTCCTTCGTCATATTTTAAAATCAATTAAGGTATAATATAAGTTAATTCTAAAAATCCTTTTTTTAAATCGATCATTATTTATTAAAAGCTGTATCACTTACTTTATCATTTTTTGAAAATCGTGTGTGATCAGTTTTCAGGAAATTATTAATTGAGGAAAAGGTCATGTTAATTTATGTGCTATTATTATATTCATTCAAGCACTCTTCCGCTTGAACATTTTCATCTCTAGGTCATTGAAAAAATTATACATTGGTATCCATTCAGTCTGGTCTTATTTCTAGACACAATTATTAGTCATCTATATAAAAGAATTTATACGTTCCCTATTTTCAGATTTATTGACTGCCGAAAGTTTGTTCTCTTGATACATTGGCGGATTCAGTTCGAGGTTAGTACCACCCCCCTCCCCCCTTCCCCCTTTTCGGTTTTTTCTTCAAATTAATTCCTTTTTTTTTCATATATATAATTATACCATATGAACGTTTCAGAGTGTTCCGGGGTTTGGACCCCCCCCCCCCCCCCCCCCCCCCTTTTCAAAATGACTGGATCCGCGCGTGCTTGATACATGTTGTGCAAAAGTCTAATATTATTTGGTTTGTGTCCTTACTTTGAAGATCCTTGTCTATTTGAATCCATATAATCTTCTTTGTAAACGTTTGTGAGGAATTTTGTGACAACATATCTAGGTTGGATCTGATTAATAGAATTTACTATTATTTGGTAGTAAGAACAATATAAAACGCTCTTATTTATGAAATCTCTAGTTGGTTTCTTGGTAGCTCGTTGATGTCTTTTCATCATATTATATTGCTTATACTGTAGAGAGTCTTTTAAAAAAGTAATTAAAAATACTTCATAAATCTATTTTAATGGTTCTAAAGTCTAAAATTTTGTCCTTACTTAGTTTCAGACCGTTGTCAAGCTTTGTTTGTAACTATGGTCATGTCGGAGCCTTTTATAGCTCACAAAACGGTATTAGTTTTGCTTATTATTGAAGGCCATGCGGTGACCTATAGTTGCTTACCTCTAGATCATTTGGTCTTTGCTGATAGTTGTCCTATTGTCATTCATACCATGCATATTATCTTATTAGTAGATCGAAAAAGTTGTATATACATGTAACGAGTAAAGTATTTTTAGATTGAAAACAATATTTAGCTTGTGATTCATTTTCCGTTTACACTCAAAACCACTCAACAATGCTTCTTATTCTCAAAATCGTCCGGATATTCTACTTATTTGTCTGCTGATCTTTACAGATTATTGTTGTGTTTATTGAATAAATCTTTAGTCACTTTAGTTTAACCCCGCCACATTCTGTATGTGCCTGTCCCAAGTCAGGAGCCTGTAATTCAGTGGTTGTCGTTTGTGACGTGTAACATATTTGCTTTTCGTTCATTATTTTGTACATAAATACGCCGTTAGTTTTGTCGTTTGAATTGTTTTACATTTGTCATTTCGAGGCCTTTTATAGCTGACTATGCGGTATGGGGTTTGCACATTGTTGACAGCCGTACGGTGACCTCAAGTTGTTAATCCATGTGTCATTTGGTCTCCTGTGGAGAGTTGTCTCATTGGCAATCATACCACATCTTCTTTTTATATATAGTTATATATTTCACTTTAAACAACATGCAACAAAATCTTCGGATTAGAAAATTGCAAACCTGTCTGGCTTTGTACATGTTGTACAGAACGCCTTATTTTGTTTATCAGTTCTAAATTGACAAAATATGATGCATATATGCTAGGATTAATTGCCTCTGTGTCTTCTTTCTTTACATTTTAATAAAGTACGTATGTGATTTTTGTATTTTTGTGCTTTAAAAGCTATCATTATTGCATGTCAATTCCTAAATCAGTGAGCGTTATCATTTTGTAAGGATTTATATACATCAGTTTGGACCTTTCAGAAAATTAGACTAGAAACTTGAACTTGTTAAAAAATGAAAACTGTAAATGTTAAATGCTGTTTAAATATAGCAACCCATATACAGGAAATACCTACTCTGATATAAATGTGATCGTTTGAAAGGGAACATTACGTGGAATATCTTCCAACAAATTGTTAAGTAAAATCATGGATGGAATTATGCTAATTTATTTATTGATAATCATTCTTCTAGGCGTTTAATCCGGTAAATATATATATTATGCTATCTTTTGAGGTTTTTATGACTGATTGTTTCCGTATATACCATATATACCATATACCTCGAACATATTCCATGCCCGTAGGTTTAATTACTATTTGTGCATGTTAAATATTCGTAAATTGTCATACTGGAGTGTCATGTCCATTGAAAGGTAGAAATGTGTGTCAATGTAAGATGTATTTGTGTTATCGTTGACAATGTGACACAAAACGAAACAAGCTAATCATACTCATAATACTCTAAATAAAAATGT